CTTAGGATGGACGTGTTTCGCGTGCGTGTTGGAACCGCGATCGCGTTTGGGCGCGTTGGGATGCGGGGAAGCCTTGCTCCGGCCCACAAGGCAGAGCGGGGCGCGCCGATCACGCTAACCAACCTTCCCGCTACGAGGACCTGGATAAGATTCAAGAAGCTTTCTACATGGTTTATTGCCTTGCCATGGTTGAGCGCCATCCATCTTGGCTGTTGTGACCATGGCTTTTCCTGTTCACATCCAGAGGACAACGTTCTTCTACGCAATCGGCAACACCCCTGCGGTGTGCCTCACCCAGTCCCTACCCCCTGACCAGGATGCTGCTCTGTTATTGTTGGGATGCGGTGATGTCCGAAGCATTCTTTTCACCGCATATGCAGGCATAGGTAGCGGCAAGTAGAATTCTCCTGGAGCGTATTTGTGTGTCTTTAGCCCATGCTAAGCCTAGAAGACCGAGACCTTGACATAACTTGCTGCGATATCGAAGCGGAAATCATCGGTATGTACTGCTTGCTACACCTCGCGATCCAAGGATTATTTTCTAATGTCAAATAATATAGCGCGAAATATAATCCTCTTCACCCTCATCATTGATGACGTGAAGAGTGAGAATATTAAACGGATCTGGGATATCTACTATCACTTCCAAGTCGACGATGATTCTCTTGGCTTACTCCGAGAACAAGCGTCGAGGCTGAAAGGTATAGCGAGTACGGCTGAGGGATGGAACAACGGAAACTATGGACACATCCTTCGGTTTTGTGATAGCTACACATTTTCCCAGGTCATGCGACTATGGGACTTCTATGCCCTGCAGCCATGTAATGGCTCAGCCTTTGAAGAGCAGCAGAAGCAGCTAAAGCAAGGCATAGAAAAAGCGAAAAGTATACAGGCGCATGTCATAGGGGATGGTATTGTTACAACAGGGGCACGATCAATGGCGCCTCTCTTCTCGAGTGGCATTGAAGGTCTCTCCAAATTTTATAAAGATTATTGGAAAAACGGAACAACCGCGACGGACGAAGAACGCGTGAGGCAGAGCAAGAACCTTAACCCAATGTTTGGAGCTCTGAGTAAATCTTTAGTCCTGCACTATGGCACGGATCCCATCCTTGGCTATAGTCTTGCACCTGCTTTTGCTCCGCTTTCAGAACAGTCTCCCTTAAGCCCTGATTCGCCTACAACAGGAGAACCGAACACCATCATTCGAGTGGTGATCGCTCAATTCGATGCTTACGCCAAAGCTGTTCGGAGCTCTGTGGGAAGGTTGACGATCCGATTTGTGAATGCAGATGCCCTGGCTTTCTGCCACACTCTCCAGCATATCCAGGAATATGGAACTAGCACACCAGCCTGGTGGTACCGTAGCACACAGTGCTATACACCTCTCACGCTGGACTCTGGGGACTACTCACAACGGACGTCAAATAGTCCCGCTCCTTTATGCTTTGACATTGTTGACACGTCGAATCTGGTGGACCATCTCGGATGTCTTAATTTGCTGGCTGCAGCTGGCCCTCTATTGAGCCCTAAACCCACCTCGACCCTGTCGACCGAGATGCTTGTCCTCCGAGAAAGAGATGTAGATCAATATGCCAAAAGTCTTGTTTGCGGAGATCTTTCAACTGTCGCACTTTTGTTCGGCCTGATCCCAACCCAATACTGGACGGGGACATGTGCTACCTCCTCTTTTTCTGAGTACCTAGCGAATAGTCTCAAAAAGGAGGATCCCTCGTCCATGAATACCCAATCACGGTATATCCTTCTCTGGAAGAGCTTAGGACTCCCCTTGAAACCAAAAGGTGGACCTAGCATAGAAGAGCGTGTTCCTGGCCTGTCCTTTGACCCGAAAGAACTAGCCACGCTGATGTATCGAGTGTATCTGAGGATGTTTCAAGACGAAAGCTGGGTGAACACTCTAAGTAAAAGCCCAGAGCAGCATTTAAGGTCGCCATATAAACACTATACGCGCGCAAGCCTCGTTGCCATTCTCGGGTTGATACACGGTTCGGGATCTGTCGACTGGAACGGCTTTATGTCACGCCTCTATGAACTTATTGTAGAGGATACTACATTGAACATGAGTCCACACTATATCCAGGAACTCAATCTGCATCTCCATACATTGGGGCTGCATAAATTGCCAGCTTACCAACTTTCTTCTCTTGAGGTAACCTACAAGGAGAAATCTCCTTTTCGAAACTGGAAGAATATTCCTTCCACCTTATGCCTCACCATGGTCGTTCCGCGTCGGAAGATATCAGTTTTTGAGAATGCATCAGTCGACTCCGGAAGTCCAAGTGCTCATATCATGTTGCAATGCCGTCGCAACCAGCGTGAAAATATTTTCCCAGGAATTCAACTTGGCTTCGGGAAATTGAGAACCTCTGGGGCTAACCACACCGAAAGCCTAACGCTGAAAATCGAAGATGATCCGCAGGGGTGGGATGGCACAGCACCATTGATTGTCTCCGTCATGATCCCATCTTGGTTGGTGTTTCAGTATTCAGACCTATCAACCAAAGTTATCTTCGCGCTGAAGAGCACTCCTGCAGCCCTCTTCAAATTTTGCGGCAAGCTTGGCATGCTGCTAGAGATAGCTCGATCTACGATTGCCGGTAAAGATATATTTATAACGAAGTACCGCCCAAATATGTCGGGTCATATGTCACTTTCGGCTAATATGGGTTCCACTGAAAGGGAGGCTGGTCCGTCAGAGTCGTCAAAGGAGTGTTTAACGGAGTCAGTTGCAGAGGAAACAAGCGTTCAGTTCCACGCTGCCCTCGACCCTAATGAATCAAAGCTTGCTAATATCACTGCGCATGTCGACATCTTCGCCGAGTCGTCCCGAGACATGCTGCGTTCTGGGGCCGCAGTCAAAATCTCGCAGATTTCGCCATTCGAGGTCGCCATCATTTTTGATTCAGGGCAATTGGTCAAACAAGTGCGACTTCCGGTACCAATAAACATGGTTGGAAGCGTGACGAGAATTGCGAGGAAATCGTCCTATGTCGAGTTTGTCGCTCCAGTCGCCCCGCAGGTGCTGCTCTCTCGCCGCCCTGACAGCCTGTACTTAGTGTCTGTGAATCACGGAATCCCTACCGTTCGCAACCCACATTATATATCGCTTGACCACCTACCGATCCTCAATATATCTCGTCCGTTGAGACTTGGGTGGCTCACCCCACATCTGGCGGACATGTTTTCCGCGAAAGAGAGAAGTGAACGAGATAAAAGCATGGAGCTATCCACTAAATGTGAGAATTTGCGTGCAAGGTTCAAGGATTCGCTTTTCACCTTGTTCATGCAAGTTACTGGAGCGCAAGGTGGGATGAGTTATTCGGTGTTTGGTTTGGATAATCGAGACAATGGCGGAATCCACGCCCTTATCTTCCCAGCTTGCCTTCGGCTAGACATGACAAACCAGACTGTTGTCCTTGATGCAGCGATGGTCCCGCTGACTGCCAAGAATATGCCAGAGTTGCGCCCGCTACTTAGGAGCATTAAAAGCCCCATGTGCATCCTTGTGGATGACGAGGAGTTTGTCTTGTGGAAACATGCCCTTCCGGTGTTCGTGGAGCGATGTCGTGACTGGAAACATTCCAAGTCGTGCGAGTATGGCATCGTCGGCAAAATTCCCATCTCAGTATCGAATGGTCAACAAACAATTTGCTCTTGTGGGAAAGGAAAATTCCCTGATGACTACCAGATAAAGGCATCTACCCTGTGGAAACGAGTGTCTAAATATGCGGTCCGTGTTGCGATTTCCCCTTGTTTTTCGGTACCTTTCGTCGAAAAATCATTTCAACCTGAGTGTCTGGCACCAAGGAAATCCGTACGTGCGTTCGCAAAGCAAGAGGCCGACCGTACAATGGACGCAGTAAATCCAAAAGCGGGCGTATGCTCCGCCTGTGGGAGGAAGGAAGCTGAAAATGGCGGTGCGCTTTTGACGTGCAGTGGGTGCAAGTTTTCTCAATATTGCTCTAAGGGCTGCCAAGCAGAACACTGGAAGAACGGACAGCACAAGACTTTGTGTCGATTGTATCAGGGGCTCCATACAACGACATGAAAGACGATTTTTCGAGAACGAGCATTGGTTATTGTATTTTCGGGTATCTTAAGTTTCGGGAAACGTTGGCACTTGATCAAGGTCAACGCGCATATCTTAATTGTGATTGAAAGAGTGGCGAGACGGTTTCAGGCGAATATGAGAAGCTCGAGGCATTTTCCAGATCTCTGCTGAGGAGGGTTGTCTAGATGTGATGTTATATTTGGTTAAAAAAAAATGAAAATCGAAATTTTTGAATGGATTCTATAACTAGCTGTGCGCCCACGCTCGCGCAAGGATGAAGGGGACTGAGGCGGCAGCCGTTGTCACCTTGCTGGGAGTTGCTGAGGCTGTCGCCTTAACCTCGAGGCAGCAGTTTATTGTCTGATGCCTCTATTTGCATCTAAGCGAGCGTCAAGAACTAGTAACGCCGTCAGACCAATGTATTCCCAAGAATCTTTTCAAGAAACTCCCAGCCTAAATCAAGCGGTGGAAGACGCTTTAACTACCTGAATAGGCACACTATACTAACCTTAGGGATTTCCGAGCCTTTCCGAGCCTTCTCGTCTTTCATTTGGATTCCAGACTCCACAAAGCAGAGATCGTTAGATCATTAGAATGTCGCTGTGCTGAGAGGCTTTCTGAGCGGGCGAGCTGCAACTGAGCACATTTGGCGAAAAACTCAAGCTGAAGATGCGAATGCTCGGGGATCTGAACGGCTGGCGAGTGCCAAGAGCCGCCTGACATTCTGTTTCTCATAAAGCGCTGGCGAACGATAAGGTGAGAATGGGTCGTTAAAGAAGCTTTGGTGGGGTCCGGATTGGCTACCGGACGGACCGTACTGCAACCATCCAGGGAAGATTACGCAGGAGCCATTGCACAATACCTTCTAGTGTCGCCGCCTTCCAACGCGCCGTTAGCTGAGGGTTGGATGGAAAGGGGCCCAAGCCCGCTAGGATTCCGTCACTGTAGCATCGAGGAAGTCGCTGGAAGGAGCGAGGCCCATATGCGAGAGCTGCGAAGTTACAATATTAGTTCCTGGGAAATGGAATGAAAGGATCAGGATGCCCCTGAAGCCTTGGTCACAGATCTTGCGTTTCGCCGCTGTCGCCAGTCGTTTGCTCCCGTGCTTTCGGTGCTTCTTCTACAGGGAAGGTAAATATGACTCACTCTCATGAGCAGCCCGCTTTCAATGGGAAGGGGAAACCCGTTACCAAGCAGCCAGGATGCCCCATCATCTACTTGAATCCCCTGGGTGCGAGCATCCAACACTGCCCAGAACCCCAATATTTCTAAATTTAAAGAGCCGTCGGCAGTCACAACGGTATCTGCAATAGCTTGAATATAGCAAGAGAGGTATTTAGAGACCTCTTTGAAGTCTGTTCTTCTTCCCACAGCAGGGCAAGGAGTGCTTAAAACTTCGCAGTAAGAGATGTTGAATCTGTGGAATTGATGAGTAATACCGTTCTTGAAAAATAAAAGAAGCTTGTGACAGTGCCAATGCGTCCTTGGGAGTGCAGGATTGGAGAACTTGATCCAAAATTTCCGGCGGAAGACCAATCCCCATCTGCTCCCTGTGGGCGAGGGATGCTTTCCAGCAGTACGAAGATAACACATAGCACAGTAAACGAAAACCTGGAGAACATTGCAAAGCTGAGGTATTGATGATGAGGGGAAGCACCGGAGGCATAAAATGGACTTGGATGAGAGCTCAACAAAGGCAACATGTTGAAGTGATAGGATAATTAAACAGGCAGCATCCTTGTAAGAAATCTTAAGAAAGGATTCTGCCTTGGAAATAGCTGCGAGATTGAGGCCTTTGTATTTATACTTCTGTGAAGCACGACAATGTATCCATGAAAGCAGAAAATGTCTGTTTGGGGCGCTTCCCAGCAAGGAAAATTTACCCCACGGGATATCGCCAAGTCGTTGGTTTGTCAATAAAAGATCGCCATACAAAGCAAAAGTCGAGGGAAATCCGGAATTGTAGCTCATTCAGCACTGTGGGCGGCCCAGGATGAATATCAAGTCTTTTCAGTGCGACACCTGGTATCACAGCGACTTCAGTCTTCAGGTCCTGATATCTCGCCCGTGACGCCAGCTAGTGGATCCAGCGTCAGTCCATGGGACTCATCAAGGCAAAGTAGCTGTATCTGGGGAAAAGTTTGTAACAGGCCATCAATGCTCTCCCATCGAGTGATAGTTAAAGTTCCGGCGTCAACATCGATCGTGTAGACGTAGTCCAAATTCGACTGTAGCGGACTGGGGAAGGAAACTGGCTCCCATTCCTTCAAGGTATCTAACTAGCGAAGCTATGATGGAATTTATTCGCTGCACTATGCCTCGCTCGTATGGGGATAGGATACGGCTCTTTGGATCGTGAAAACGATACCATTTTCCTTTTTGAACGGTCTATTGGTAAATAATCCAGCAGTACGGAGTAATTGGAAGGATGAGGAGATGTCGCGTGTACCGGCAAAATGCGAGTTCCATAAGCCTCTCGTTCCCATCTCTCTTATCAAGGTAAGAAAGAGAGCAAGAGGAAGCGTCTTCTATCGTCAGATACTTTCGCCTTGTGTCATCAACGGGATCCCAATATCAATTGCAAACTACTCCGTACAGCATCTGGAGACCGGCGCTGAGGAGAGTGACACAGCAGATGCCCGACGCAAACGGATTTAGGAAAGCTGCCCTGGGCTGGGTAATCCGCCAGATCTAACTAACATACTTCCCAGCAAACTTGATCACCCGGCGAACTTGATCATTTGTCCATGTGATATAAAACTTTAATACTTGACTTGCTTGGCTTTACTGTACTCCGTACAGACCATTCCTGAAACAAAGGCCGATCCAAGATCACATTCTGCCTGTATGGCGGTTAGCTGGGACTGAACGACAGAGAGCCTTACACCTTAGCCAAATAAATTTTGTCACGCGCAAGGGTCCGAGGGGGTCAGTGTACACATATGCGCCATTGTAGCATTCGCACTGGGATTCACAAAGGGATGTGATCCGGGGTTAGTCGTCAGGAAAGTAAGAGGTTTTCCAAAGCCATCTCCCGCAAGGGTTTCCCTTTTGGTCTAGTAGTTAGTCAGTTCGTGCTTCTCGTTAGCATCAAAACCGGATCACGTGGTGACGCGCAAGGTCCATTAACTTCGCTCTACGGAGTAGATCAGCCAAACACTTAGGAATCTGGAATCATGCCCAAACAACCCTGTGAGTTTTCTTTCGGTTCCCACTCCAGATTCTCGATAACCCGTCAAGCGATCTGACCCAAATCGGGCTCATCGCGCGTCTGGAAGCCTGCAATGTCCACCCTTGATGAAAATGTTCCCTCACGAGCACCGAATGGGCCTGGAGACCCAATTTTCACCCCAACTATTGATGTAAGTCCTGCATCCTAGTAAGGTCTTTTGGTTCTAATACTTTGATAGCCCCAGAGCAAGGATAGTACAAATGTGTTCCCCTTAGATGGGGTCAACATCGAGAGTTTGTCTCAGATGAGCATTTGATACTTCTCGGGGACACTGCTCCTGTTCTCTACCAGATCGGTCCAAACAAAGTTGTACGAATCTCCCGCGACCTGGCACTGAAGTGTGGGCCCTCGGTTCTACCCAGTGAGGCCAAAGCACTCGATTTAGCCCGAGCAAAGACGGTAATCAGAGTTCCTCATGTCTACCGCTCATTCCAGGTTGATGATCCTTTCGAGTACTATGGAACGAGAGGCTACCTGGTCATGGATTACATCGAAGGCCGAAACCTCGGGGATTGTTGGATGCAGCTTGCTGCAGAGGATAAAGCTGATGTGATCTCTCAGTCAGCAGCGATAATAAGCCAGCTTCAGAGTACAGTCCTTCCAACACCCGGCCCCATAGGCGGGGGTCCTTGTCGAGGCAAACTCTTCACAGACTACGGCGCAGGTCCGTTCAACTCCGGATCCGAGATGGAAGCTTGGTTTAATCACAAACTCGAAATATGCAAGCGTTATAACCAAACCCCTCAGGATATTCCTCCATTCAAGTTCAGGAAGTTCGTACTGGTGCATCAAGACATAAGTCCTCGAAATATGATCTTGGATGCTGCGGGACAAGTCTGGTTGATTGACTGGGCACACGCCGGTGCTTACCCTCCCGCATTCGAACGAGCCGCTGTAGCCGAACAGCACCTGTTTCCCGAATTCAACAAAATGCTATTAAACGCCCTGCCACACTATGATGCCGAGGTGAGCCAATTGCAGTCAATCCAGTATGGACTATCCGTCGCAAGTCTCGCATAAACAATCGGCTTTGCATGCTTTTTACGGGGCGTTTACGGGTGGCTTTCGGTAAGCGGCCCGAACCCGACATGATACTTTTGAGTTTCGACACATCAACCAGGTTATATATCTCTCATACAAATTCAAAACTCAACTTCCCCGTGCATAAAAGAGAGATGAACCAAAGTCTGCGCTGGCCATTCTTTAGCCTTTCAGACAGCTCCAGAATGTTTTAAAGGCCCATATCCGATCGATCGATTATTCTTTCAACTCTCCGACCGAGCGGCCGGTTGATCTCCTGAGTTTCCCGGACGAGGAAGAAGCACCGCCGGAGGTGGATGAGTTTGTGAGACAGTGGGAGCTCGTGTTGTGTGGACCGGAAAAGATATCCCGTCACAAGCGTGTGAAGGAATCAAGAGTCATGATCCCACAATCAATCAGCATATTGAAGAGAGAGGTGGTCTATATTTTGTTTTCCTGAGATCAAGCTCAAGCCCAAAGGTTAGCCGGATATTGTGCTTTCGTCTATACTCTTCCAATCAATCCTTCGCTGCAGCAGGCAAGCATGGCATAAGCGTCCGCGGATAAAAAGCGGATCAAAGCTGATCACTTTACTCTAGCCTGCCCGTTGAATGAGAGCGTGTGGTCAGCAGGAGGCCGGAAGTGGTGGCTAAGCCTCGATTGAGTTGAGTGATGGTTGTGCTTTTGCCCTTTCATTCCGTGTGTTGGTTGTGCTAGGAATGTTAAGTGATTTTTGGACATTGCCCTCTTTTCCCATACAGAGGAGATTTCTAAGGCGACGGGCGATTCATTGTAAATTCCTTGAGGGTTTGGACATGAATTTCCTGGAAGTTTGACACGACTTTTCCGAAGCTCCCATCCTGAAGGCCCCAATGCGAGTTCCTAGAGTGGTTTGGCGTGACATTCTGGAAAATCCATTGTGGACTTCTAGCGCTCCGGTATGTGTCAATTGGTTTCTTTTTAGTTACCTTGTCCTGACACTCTTATTGTCCGCTATAGTCACTCCAAATCCTGAAGCCATGGATGTTGTAGTGCTTGCTCTGCCGTTGGTCGTGTTTTGTGGTTGATATTCAAAAGGTAACGAATAAAGCTAACGCAATCTGAGGGGACATTGACTTTGGCAAGCTCTTCTTCAAGAGATTCGACTTTGATGAGATCCCGCTTCACAAAGAATTCCGCCAAGTCAAATTCAGACTTGTACTTGGGATCCTCATCTCGTTCTAATGGTCCAACAAGTTTCATAATCTTGCCAATGGCCCAGGCAGATTTGTTTGTGTCAAGGGGAAATTCTTGGACACGAGAATCTTGGTCCCAGTTTCCAAAAATAATTTTATTGGCGAAGAAATGCATTAGCTATGCAAAAGGTCAGCAGTGTTTTGGGATGCAAGGACTAAAACAACAAAAATCATGGAACATACAGTAACTTCAACTGACCACACCTGGCAAGGTGGTGTTGGCGACACTCCCTTCCAGATCTCAGGGGCACGAATTTCAACTCCCTGCAATCGGAAGTCATCAAAGCCCTCAGAGGTGATCACTAGTGGATGTAAGCATATGATTGCAAGTTAGGATTCAGATAGTGCAACATACCTGCTCCAAGATCAGCAAGCTTCACAGTAGGTTTTGGTGAGTCCACATTGGAGACAAGGACATTATTAGGGTTGATGTCTTCCATTTTGATATTAGTTTACTGAACACACACTGATTGTGGTTGTGTATGTATCATGCATACCTGTGTGCACAGCAGTAAAGTGCCCGTCCATGTCTGAGAAGACTTTTACAGCTTCAAGGATGGACTTGGCAGTAATTTTTAGAAAAGGCTGGCCGAGTTCCTGTGCCCTGGCTCTCAATGACCACAGGTCAGTATCCAAGCACTCAAACACCATGCATCTGTCTGTGCTATTATCAACAACTTCATGCATCGCTCGTATATATGGGGAGCTGGTAATACAGCGGTAGCCATAGCAGTTGGCCTCAGTTTGGTATATGATTGGATCGGCACTTTCTGTTTTGATGATTACTCTTTTGTCAGATTTACCTTCAGTCAGCACATGCATGTAAAGGAGAGATACTGGGCGGAGTGAGGCTCACGGTGTATTAGTTCCCACTGTTGAAGCTTGAAAGACGTTTTGCTTCAGCGCTTTCGCGACTTTGTACGAGCCGCGGCTGCCGTTAATGAGCACCTTTTGGCCTGTCGTGAACAGATCGTAAATGGGACGAGGCATCCCGGGAAGATGGAATAAGATGGAGACAGACTGTTACGAAGCTCGCAGTTCTTGGGAAGTGAACCGCCTAGATTCGACTGATTAGTCATATATGGAGATCGAATTCAAGATGATCAAGTTCGCCAGGAAGTACATTCACTAAGTTAATTAGCTAGTTATGTAACTAACTCCAGAGTACGGAGTACTCCGTAACTAGTTCACTAACTTACTCCGTAAGTAACTAAACTAGTTAACTTAAATCAGATAGCTCCACCACATGACATCTTCTACCGCCTGCTAACTGACTTCATCTTCCTCTCGGCAAATCCCCAACGCAATGGAGTTGTAACTGCTAACTCAACGTCCGGCTTTGTCTCAAAGCCAACCACATGCCCATTAACTTATTTCTGAACATATCTTTTATACCAATACCTGCGTCTGTCTCCTGAATTTCCTTGGAGACGTTCTGATTAACCCTCAGCAAAGATGGCGCCCAAGGCGATGATTCCCGTCCTGGTCACCATGATGCTGGTTACTGGGGTGTGCAATACACTTCTTACAAAATATCAGGACATGCAGTGTGTGCGAAACTGTGATGATCCGGATCCCAAAAACCGGGTTGTTTTTGAGCAACCTGTGCTTCAGACGTATGCAAGGATCTCAGACTGGTTATCAATGCACTCTTCGAAGCAGAATATGCGAGGCTAACGATTCTCCTTTTACTATGTAGATTACAGATGTTTATCGGGGAAATGGGCTGCTGGCTTGTTTTGTTTGGCATCAATATGTGGAATCGTCATGTTAGGCCGCGTTGGGGAGGTTCCTCAGCACCTTTGATTGCGGGAGGATACGAGCCGGTTGGCGATGGGTCGGGCGACCTGCCTCCATATGATGATGATGCCGAAGAAGATATATCAGCTCACGACGATGTTGCGAAGTCGAATGATCATGATGATTCCCGAACCAAGCTGCGAGGCATGAAAATCTTCCTGCTCGCTGCCCCTGCATGCTGTGACATATCCGGTACAACTCTTATGAACGTTGGCTTGCTCTTTGTAGTGGCAAGCATTTATCAGATGACACGTGGAGCGCTCGTTCTATTTGTCGGTCTGTTCAGCGTATTGTTTCTTCGACGAAGACTATATATGTATCAGTGGATGGCTCTGGTTTGCGTTGTCTTTGGTGTCGGCCTCGTGGGTCTCGCTGGTGCAATTTTTAGAGATCACCATGAACCTATGGAAGCCTCCCCCAAGGATCTCGTCCAGCTTATGTCCCGAGCCGCCCAAGAGCTTCATGCAACCGCCAAATCTCCTGAAGCTGTAAAGGTAATCGTTGGCGTGCTCTTAATTGCCGGAGCTCAGATTTTCACTGCCACTCAGTTTGTTTTAGAAGAATGGATTCTTGAAAGATATGCCATGAATCCATTAAAGGTTGTCGGTTGGGAGGGCATTTTTGGTGCCGTGGTGACTACAGTTGGCATGGGTGTCTTACATCTCGCCATTGGCCGAACAGAGCACGGCAGATATGGGTATTTCGATGCTGCTGAAGGGTGGAGAAATATGACAAATAACAAAACAGTCGCTTTTTCTAGCCTTTTGATCATGATCAGCATTGGGTACGATCGGTTCCCCCTTGAAACATTTGACATTTTAATTACCGTTTCTGATATATTCTCTCTATAGTGGTTTCAATTATTTTGGTCTAAGTGTTACCCGGTCTGTCTCGGCAACTTCGCGCAGTACAATTGACACGTCCCGTACACTATTCATCTGGCTTGTGTCACTTGGACTTGGATGGGAATCTTTCAAATGGCTACAAGTTGTGGGGTTTGCGATGCTGGTATATGGCACCTTCTTGTTCAACGACATTGTCCGTCCACCATTGAAGGCTTGTCTTCCTAAGAGATCGCCTGGGGAAGCCCACGAGAGCCTGCTTCCCGAGGAGCCAATCGAGCACATATAAATTATACCCAAGGGGGAAACCGGAGTATCATTGTACTTTTTCTTCGATCTTTGTTTTTCAGCGTCTAGATATATACGCGAGAAGCGATCTCCTAAGCACTCTCCGTGACGGCCGAATGGGTAATTCCCTCGGCTCAATGGAACCTGATATACAAGTATAGTTTTCGGTGATTCGTTCCACTTTTTTTATGACTTGATTTTCATAGGATAATAGCGATTCTATGAGGTTCGGGACTCGCATTTTGGTGACGTCCTGGGAGTTGGCGATTGTCAGCATACATATTTCTATGTTCAGATTAGGACTCAAAGGCGTTGGGCGGTGGCACTCTTCAAATACATGTAGCTAGAAGCCGTCTTGGTTTCTCGATTAGAAGTTACCCGCAAATACTTCATTAAGTCATTACATATGTATGGCCCGGACTGATAGTGTCAGAAAGCAAATCATGCCAGTGAATTGTAAACCGCTGCCTCCACGTTTACCCACAATGATATCAACTTTGGATCTGCAAATGGCAAGATCTGAGTTGCTATCACGCCTGCCACCTCCTTCTCGCGATCACACCACCAGAAACAGTTCGCGATTCCCGCCCAGAATGCGCTGGTTGCTGTCCTGCCTGTAGGACTTGGTGTGATCATCCAAGTGAGACCCCATCCCTGCGGCGCGCCGTCTGGGATCGGATAGAGGTCTGGACAGGGATTGCTGAGCTCTGGATTCGCCGTGGCGATTCCGGCCCGGCCAAAATCTGGCATGTGGGGAATTTGGTCTTGGAACATGGTATCGACAGTGGACTGGGAGAGGAGTTGCTTGCCTGTTGTTGGCGAGACGCCGTTGTTTAAGAGCATAGCGAGGATTTCTAGGGAGAGGCGTTTGGCTTAGTGTCCAGAATATGTCGAGACACCTTTGATAGAGAAACTTACGGGCGTAATCTCGCGGAGTAGCAAAGCATCCCCCTCCGCCGCTGTTGAAGATAGATTTCTTATCCTCCTCGCTTGTACTGGTCAGTGGCCGAATATTGGGGTGTTTGCGGTGACTAAGAGCGCCGTCGGGGGCGCGCTGGGTCATAGAAACAAGTCTTTTCTTCATATCTTCGCATGGGAAGAATCCGATATTCTTCAACCCCAGCGGTTCGAAAATGTTCTTTTCAAAGTACTCGCTGAGAGATACATTGGATACCCGTTCAACCATGATGCCGGCCCAGTCAATATTGATCTAAATAACTAGTCAGTATCTGCTCCTTTTCGACAATATGTTCTAGCCTTGCAGAATCATGGGTTGCATACGCCATATTCCCAGGTTTCTCCAGGCTGATGGACGAGCGGTTGCTTGAAATCATCAATTCTACCGGAGAACTCATCAAAGCCCTGGCCCTTATAGTCCCGTAGCCTCTCTTGGAAAAAGGTGTACCCAAATCCAGCTACAAAATTGTGATCAGCACTCGACGTTGTGGTAACTAATTACACAGAGAGATATAAATTCTAACCAGTGTGCGAAAGCAGCATCCTCAGCGTGATTCCCTTCGTTTTCGGCACCAGGGTTCCATCTTTCTGTAGAACCTGGACATCCTTCAATTCTGGGCAAACCTTCTCCACGAGCTCTGCATCGTCCAGGGCCAATTTTCCCTGTTCCACAAGCTGCATACAGGCCACACCTGTGATCATCTTGGTGAATGATGCGATCCAATAAACCGAATCGGGCGTAACGGGCTCATTTTGGCCAGCTCCGCGTGTGCCGGCGGAATGGGTGAAGATCTCTTGCCCATCTTTATTGACCACAACAAAGGACACATTTGGAAGACCTTGAATTTGGTCTTTGCATGCTTCATCGATTGCAGAGCGAATGGCCGTTTTACCCTCGGGGGAGAGTGTTTTGCCCATTTTTGACTGGATATTCGAGCGTGAAGCTTGAATAGTGTTTGCGCACAAGAAAAGGAAGGAAACAGAAAGAAACCCTCAGGTCACTGTTCGAGTATGAAATGAGCTGAATGAAAGCGGGAGTGTCTTTCACCCCAAGGAAGGTTGAACGGGGCCCAGGATATGTCCCGTTCCAAGCTGGTTAAACAGCGGTGGGTAAACATTAAGTGTTCCACCTCCACGGTGGTCATTGCATCAACCTCGGGTTAAATAGCCCATTTTTCTAAGCTCTGTGTTACCATTTAGCTGTCCAGATACAGTTCAAGACTGTGTTATTGTCGGATGCGGGGAAAGCTGTCGCCCGGTCCTATGGGTCGTCAAAGATAGTCTAGTATATGCCGAGGATCTTGCAGGTCGACGAAAGGAACCAACTGGGTAAACCACGACGAGCCACATGGATTATCGTGGAAAAATAGTTTGGGAGCATAGAGGAGGAGGCCGAGTGAACTCTAGACGTCCGGACAAGCGGGAGTGCTAGGATTGGCTTGGCTGGTGTCTTTCAATGGGTTTGTGGTACTGGAAAGACTTTAAATAGCTAGAAAGCTGCATGGGAACGGAGTGGCAAGGTTAGCACTTTGATGGATTACTCGTAACGGAGCGCCTTGAAATTTGATGGCCACTTTGCGATGGCCTCATCCAGCTAACTAGTTAACTAGTTAACAATAAGACGAGCTGACCAACTAACATCGTACATAATTACTAAATAAATGCACCAAACAAATGCAGTCGCATGAACCCAGCAAGTTCAGAAATGTCGCAGAATGAGCCTAAATATATATATATATATCATTTACCCAAATCAATCACTGTCCCAATGCGAAAAGCAAATAACACAGCTTTCAACCAAAGGCGTTACCTGCGGTATAGAGCGTGTCCCTCTCCTAAAGCAATCCATACTATGAAAGCATATGTTATACAAGTACATAGAGTGCACACATCTATGTGATTAGGCCTGTTAGTGGAATGTATAAGAAAAGGTCGTGGATAGGGGCGAATTCACGTACCATTGATAGGCCGAGAATCATGGAGATCCAAAAGCAGACATTCTAGATTGAAACTGGTCAGCACCCGTTTCAAGTTTTACATGGGGAGCATTACATTGAATGTCCTTCGTCCCTTGACGAATTTTGATCGCTGCGCTGCAACAATAGGCAGCTGGAGCATCATTGCAAGAAACCCGTACCCGCGGAGTTTCTTCGTAATGCATCCCATGACTAACTCATGCCCAATCGAGCTTACAAGGAATGTTATAAACATAGCTCCCGAATTCGAAAATCGCGTCAAAGAGGAAAAATAAACATGGCGTCGAAGGAAGTGATGGACGGGAATGTTCCATTCCCGGGAAAATTCCAACCTAAGGAAGACACCAATCAGTGGTTTGAGAGCTCTCCACATCAGCGAAAACCAAACTCACCAATCGCAGGAATTCCACCAGTCGGAGTAGAATCGACGGTCCGCAAACCGTGTTATCTCGGCGAATGCCCCTAAGACATATTCGAAAATCACAAGAAAAACGAGGAGGAATGTAACCATGAAGGGAAACAGAAGCATGCTGATCGTCTCAGCAAGGACAAGACTTTTCTCACACCAGCTATCTGCTCGGTGTAGTCGATATGCAGAGTCATTCAGGACAGGCACAATGAACTCTTCGGTTGTCAAGGTCAATAAGAAAATACAACCAAACACAGCCAACGCTTTTACTAGGACTCTTGTCCATTGCGTTTTTTTGGTCCGTGGGTATTCTAACTCATAACAGAGGGTTGGGCATAATAGGAAATCGATATAGTTCCACCAGGTGAGATTTTGCGGGTATGTCACATGACCAAGGGGTGAGGTGAGCTCCGTCGCGAGGTCTGAGCGAAGTTTGGATACGGGTTGCTTACAGTCTCGCTTGTCGTTTGACACCCCTATCTCGGAGTTCTCTTCGGCGGCTCGGATGGGGGACTTCGGATATCGGATAGCTGCGGACAGGGAATCCGAGTCTGGCTTATCTAGCGACGAAAGGCGTCGTTGGGTCTCACTCAAATGGCCGTTGTAGAAGGCATATGAGTGCATTTTCATCAAAAGCGTCAATGTATGCAGGGTAAGGTAAACTTGGGCGGTCCACGTCCAATCCAACATGAAAGGTAACCTGTGCGAGAGGAATTGATTAGCGGACTTGCACACCGACTCGCCTTGACATGGACTCTTACGCGACCCAAATGGTCAACCAGACAAGCTGGAAAGAGCTCTGAACGACGATCCCATATTGATTCCACCGGAGCCACCCCTTGCTCGAGCTGATGGCACGATGCAACGGCAAAGTCACGCCAGTGCTTACGACCATAGCAAGATCACAGAGCGCCAGTTGGAAGACATTGGCCGAAAACAGCAGCCAAACCTGCATCCGCAGCGGATATCCCGTATCCTTCACGTTGCGCAACACCGTCGTGATAACCATGATAGCTAGGCTGATCCAGAACAGAACAAAGAAGCCCCGAAAGTTCTGGTTGTCAGAGTTCGGATCAAAGTGCGACAAACGGGGCTGATAGTCAATATTGTAGAATAATCGTGTCTTCGCCTGGGCACGGACTTGCTTCCTTGCGGATGATATGGACTGTACGGAAGGCGGCGCATCATCGGCAACCGGCGTTGAGAGTCCGCTGCTCTTGAATTAGCACGATCGGAGCGGATAGATGACAACGATATTGATGGCTCTCACCTCGAAGGAGCCGACGACAACTTTTCCTGACTCGATTGGCTCGGCAAATATCGATCTAGCTGTTCTGCAGCTCGCAATGCACGAGCGCGCAGGACATGGGTATCACTTCCGTTGGCCAGCGCAGATGGCATATTGGCGGACGGCGTGCGTCAAGTATGAATACCATTGACCCGGATTGTGCGAACAATGACAACACAAATCCTAGCGGGCATCCCCATCGAAGAGCGAGCTATATGCAGAAGAGATAGTTCTGCAGGTTTTCAGCGTCTTGTCGACGTTTTCAGCTCCAGCTAAATCCGGCATCTTCATCATTCTTACATAAGGTAAAGGCCGATTACCTCCGATACGCCGACTGGAAACCACGCTAGCTGTTGACGCTACCACCCATTCCGTTTATAGTTAGATCAGCCCCCGTCTTGGCGTCGACTCCCCATCTTACCTAAGAACAAGTCGCCAGCAGCATCTCAAAGGGCCGGGTTTGAATGTCTCTTTGGGCAGGCGATCAGACGCTGTGATCTTTTGACTGCGAGGGTTCAGTTTTCCAAGCAGCCATCGGTCAGACCCCCAATCTCCACGTGTTGTGGAGATTCAGAATTCCCCTGGACGTTAAGCCTGTTACCTGGAGCCCCGCCGGGGCTACTTACGACCGTCATGACCTCCCGTGAGTTCCTCTGCGAATCGAAGGCCCGAGAGTCCTATCAACTGATCAATTTTTCAAGTCAAACAATTTATCCGAAACGTGCGTGCATCGAAAACAATTGCCGATGAGCGGGCAGTGGTACAAAAAGAGAGTGCAGCAATCCGTGCCAGCTTCAGGGATGAGTACACGGATTCCAATGTTAGGTGGGTTGTTCCATAGGACCCCCCCGCGGTAAATACACCGCTAATGGACACAAAAGGAGGAACAATGTAGCAAAATTACTCTATCTTTTCACGCTGGGCGAGCGGACGCATTTCGGCCAGATAGAATGCCTCAAACTTCTTGCGTCGCCGCGCTTTGCGGACAAACGATTAGGGTATTTGGGAACAATGCTTCTGCTGGATGAGAACCAAGAGGTTCTGACATTGGTCACTAATTCCTTGAAAAAGTTGGCCCCTCTCTATACCCCTTTTCTACTCACATTGCTGACCGAGCTCACAGTGACTTAAACCATTCGAACCAATACGTAGTTGGACTCGCCCTCTGTACCCTAGGAAATATTGCTTCGATTGAAATGTCTAGAGACCTGTTCCCGGAAATCGAGTCTCTCATATCCACTGCCAACCCATATATCCGCCGAAAAGCTGCCCTCTGTGCAATGCGCATCTGTCGAAAAGTACCCGATCTGCAGGAACATTTTATCGAAAAGGCGAAAGTCCTCCTTTCCGATAGAAACCATGGTGTCTTGTTGTGCGGTCTTACCCTTGCCATTGACTTCTGTGAACAAGATGAGGCGGAAGGTGGCGGGGAGATCATAGAACAATTCCGACCCTTAGCTCCCGGTCTAGTGAGGACGCTAAAAGGCTTGACAACCTCAGGATACACCCCGGAGCATGATGTTTATGGAATTACGGATCCATTCTTGCAAATCAAAATCCTCCGTTTGCTCCGAGTACTGGGCAGAGGCGACGCTGCCATAAGCGAGCTTATCAATGATATTCTGGCACAGGTCGCGACTAATACTGACTCGAGCAAGAACGTGGGCAATTCTATCTTATATGAGACAGTATTGACTATTCTAGACATAGAAGCTGACTCTGGTCTCCGCGTTCTGGGCGTGAATATCCTTGGGAAATTTCTGGCCAATAAGGATAACAATATTCGGTATGTGGCTTTGAACACATTGATCAAGGTTGTCGCTGTAGAACCCAATGCCGTTCAAAGACACCGCAATACCATCCTTGAATGTTTACGAGATGCCGATATCAGTATACGACGGCGTGCACTCGACCTCAGTTTCACCCTTATCAACGAAGGAAACGTCCGGGTTCTTGTTCGTGAACTCTTGGCATTCTTGGAAGTTGCCGATACCGAATTCAAACCAGTTATGACAACTCAGATTGGGATAGCAGCTGACAGATTTGCGCCAAATAAACGTTGGCATGTTGATACAATGCTCCGTGTGCTGAAACTTGCTGGAAATTACGTCAAAGAACAGATACTCTCTTCCTTTGTCCGTCTCATTGCAACAACCCCCGAGCTACAAACGTATTCCGTGCAGAAGCTCTATGCTGCGCTTAAGGAAGATATATCACAGGAGGGCCTTACCCTGGCTGCGTCGTGGGTTATCGGAGAATATGGTGATGCCCTCCTCCGTGGTGGTCAATATGAGGAAGAGGACTTGGTGACAGAAGTGAAGGAGAGCGATATTGTAGACCTCTTCATGAACATTTTGAACAGCACATACGCGTCCCAAATCGTTACTGAATACATTGTCACCTCTGCAATGAAATTATCGACGAGGATGACAGACCCAGCTCAAATCGAACGGATTCGCAGATTCCTGAGCAGCAGAACCGCTGATCTCAGCGTTGAGATCCAGCAAAGAGCTGTGGAGTACACGAACCTTTTTGGATACGATCAAATCAGGCGTGGCGTATTTGAGAAAATGCCGCCTCCGGAGATACGGGAAGAACAGCGAGTTTTGGGTCCCTCTACAAACAAACGACAGAGCAGGGTGCTGAAAGATAAATCCAAAAAGCCAGCAAAACCATCCGAACAGGACATGCTTCTCGATCTTATGGGTGGCTCTGATGTTCCGGCCACGGATACGAGCAAGACTGTTAATGGGTCTCAAAATACAGCGGACTTGTTGGCCGACATTTTAGGTGGTGGCACGTCTACCAGTCAGTCACCACCGCCGCCATCGAATCAATCCTCTAACATCAATGCAATTATGGACCTCTTCGGCTCGTCTAACGGAGGTTCTCCAATGCCGCAGCCACAAACTTCGGTGCCATCTAGTGTATTAGCAGCTACCAGGTCACAGCCTTCCCAAAACCCGCCTCCTGTCTCTGGCGCACCAATCCATACTGCATTTAACAAAAACGACCTTACATTATCTCTTCAAGTTCAGAGGAACAGTTCTTCTGCAGCGCAGATTCTCGCTAAATTCCGCAACACGTCACATTTGGACCGTTTCACTGGTGTTGGACTCCAAGCGGCTGTACCAAAGTCGCAAAAGCTTCAGCTTACGGCCATTAATAAAGCAGAACTAGACGGTGGAGAAGAAGGCTCTCAAGTAATGAAGGTGGCAGCTGCGACGAGCAACGTACGTCTTGTCGATTCTCAAATATCTCTATGTGTACGCAGCTTGATTTGCTAATTCTCAATAATCCTACTACAGGCACTACCAGGTAAACTCCGATTACGCCTCAGAGTGACCTACTCCAAAAATGGGTCGGAGCCAGTGACAGAGCAAGTGGATTGGACAGAGCCATAGGTTATTAATTTACATGTTTGCATTATGATTCCCCTTGCATAAAACCTTTTTCCATTGTCATTTGAGGGCCTCATAACATGTGAGGCAATGGGTTGGGCTAAGCGAAAATATATATGAGTAATGCATTCGGTTAATAGATATCAGAATCTGGTTCGACCTTCTATTTTGGTTTTGATTTGAGATTTGCTCACTCGATTCGATTCCGTCACCCTATGTCTCATTAGCCCGGCTAGAGCGTTTGGTGCTCCCGTTCGACCAAAGCTTCTCGCTTGTACCCCAGCTCTCTCTCGCGGATTGAGCCATCGCCTCTTTAACGCCCTGATGACTTAGCGGCTCCTTACCCCTTTTGAGGAAACGGATAGCTTGAGGGGACAAGAACTGCTTTAATTGACATCACTTTGATGTCAAATTTTGGTCACTTTCTCGATCTATCTCCCTTATAACAACTGTCCACTGAAGAAATAATGATCCCACTTTTCCAGAAAAGACCCATTACAGTTTGGGGAAAGTATATTCTGTCAACTTGATGTAAAACTGAGCAAATCCAATTCTCATGCATCGGGGGTGTAAAAGCATCGTTAGACACCCATAATGGCCTTATCTCCGTCTCTATCTTCACCACTCCCGATATAGCTCTCAAGTCGTTTTTAAACTACTTGTATACTTTATTGTTCGTATCAACTTGGTCTATAGAAGGTCAAGTAGCTTTTATTATGGTATTATTTTCTTTCCTCCGCGAAGATGTCGATGTCGACGGTATGTGTCCTATGCATACTTTTCCTTTAACCTTCTTACGTATCCTGCCGTTATACATTCCCTTATTCCCTCTTATTTACTGACCCATACCCAGATAGTAGACACATCCCCAATTTGGCTAGAGAACACAAGGGTTCTCTCACAACTCTCGACCAAGGAAGCCAGCCAGCAGCTCGAAGCTGCGATAACACTTTTCCACGCTTCCCAAGGTAGCCGTCCGGACCATAGCCTAAAATCCCAAGCACTAGAGCTTGCCATGCGGTGCAAGGCCACGGTTTCACTACTTGGTTTGGGTTCCTCGAGGCCAGCATATTCTGCCTAAAGTATCCTCTCCCAGAGATCACTGTCTTCGGCAATCCTAAGCTCGACTGCAGCTTTGAATGACGTTACAAAGTCGGCACTAAAGCGCAACAGTGCCTGATAGCAGCTACCAAGTGAAGTGGTTGTGGGGACCGGATTGAGTACGTGGTGTTCCCGACACCATACGGGAAAAAAGGGACTTTTCTGCTTTTGGTTTTATCGTTCACTTATGTACCAATAGTTGTGGATAAGGGTGTGTTCCTCTGAGAAATTTATTGCATTTTATTTTGATCTCATGAAATGGTGTTTTGGAGTGGAACAAGGCAAAAAGGAAACTGGGAAAATAGGAAAAGCCCGGACCGGAACATGTATCATTTTTCAACATTAAAGGCACCATTGATTGTGATGGAGGACTCATATGCTTGTCATTCACTAAGCTACCTAAAGGGGAATCTCAGCTAATCTATGTGGGTCACGTGAGCGAGGTGCTAGTTGGATTATCTAACACCCCCCTATGCAACAAGCTCCAGCAGCAAGCAAGAGCCACAAAGATTCAAAGCTTCCAAATCTCTCAAATCTGCAATAAAAATTAATTACAAAATCCAGATTTATTTCTTCTTTAGGCTTAGCTCTGTTTGCTGTAATAGATATTTTCACCAGCTTTACTGATAAACCTTCATATTTTCCTGTATTAACCTGTCACCTCTATCATGCTCATGAATTAAGTGTAGAGATTCATTGCAAGAGTCTTTGTAAGCCCATCAGCTTTATTTGCATTATTTCTAACATGCTTAATTGAGATTTCATTCTTTTGCACCCAGTCTCTTAGCATATGGTGCCAGATCTTAATATGGCATGCTCTTCATATTATAGCTTCAGCTTTGGCTAAGTCAACAGCTCCCTTGTTGTCAATACTTAATTTTAAGCTTCTTAGCCTTGCTGAGCTTTCACTAATTACTCCAGCATCTATTAACAGGTTATTGATTTAAACCAGTTCACAAGCAGCTTCACTAGCTGTCAAATACTCCACTTCAGTTATAGATTTCAAGACAGATGTCTGATGCTGTAATCTCCACAATATTAAAGCTCTGTTCATGATAATAATATAGCTGCTGGTGAATTTGTACACAGGATCAGCTCCAGCCCAGTCAGAATTCATATTTCTTTTAAAGACTATTTCTTTTGATTTTATGCTCTTGAGGTAGTATAGAATCTGCTTGAACATCATCCAGCTCTTTTTATTGGGCCTGCTGTTGAATGTCACCAGATAATTGACTGCAAATGCAATATCCAGCCTCATACATATAACTAGAAACTATAGGGAGTCCAGGCCTTTTCTGTAATTCATAGACATGATCTGCTCATCAACTCCATTTTTAAAAATCTGATCTGGCACAAATTCAATGCTTATTTCTTTCTTCATTAGTGTTTTGAAAGATTTATAGTCTTTCATTCTATATTTACTTAGTAGATCCTCAATATACTGTTTCTGATTCATAAAAAGATCTTTATTTAGCTGCTTTTGAATCTGCATATCTAGATAACAGTCTTGCTCTATAATCTTCTTAATCTTAAAGCATTTCTGAAGCTTCTCAATAAGCTATTCTGTTTCAGCTTCATTGAGTCCCATTATACAGCAGTTATCAATATATAGAGTTAGATAGATTTACTTTCTCTTGTAGTAGAGTAGGCCCACATTACATGAAGAGATCTGGAATTCTAGAGATTTCAGATAGTCAGTAGCTGCTTGATACCAGAGTCTAGCAGCTTGCTTTAATTTATAAAGTTTTTGGTATAAGAGCCCTACTAGATTACTCCACCTGTACTTAAATCCAGTAGATAGTTGAACATATATACATTCATTCTCTGGAAGAGTGCTATTTAGAAAGACTGTCACAAAGTTAAAGACTCTGATCTTTCAGTTCTTAACTGTTGAAATAGCAAAGAAAACTCTTATTGTAGATTTACTGACAACTACTGTATAGATTTTCTTGTAGTGAACATCTTCTTGCTGTTCAAATCCACATACAACCCAACAGGCTTTGAATTATATTATACCACCTGTATTGTTGAGCTTTCTATCAAATATTCATTTGCCAGAGAGAATCTGCATTTCAGATTTCTTCTCAACTAGAATCCAGATATCTTTCTCTTGTAGTTTGAAGACTTCAATATCTAGAGTCTTCTTTTAATAAAGCCACTTTTCAGAGCATTTGACTTCAGCAATGAATTTTAGTATATCTGTATACATGCTGAGTACTGGAAGCTCAGCTTCATTCATCTCTTTTTCTTCTGTTATATTCAAGAGGATTTCTTGCTCTTCATTCAGATATGTGGGCTCTAAAGCCTCTAATTCACTATTCATAAGCTTCTTCATGATTTCTGGCTTCTTCTTTACAAAATAAGCTAGTAGCTTGTGTTGCCAGCTGTTCAATGAATCTATGTAATTATACTTCTCCAGAAGTTCAATATATTCAGCTTCAGTTAGTGAATTCATAGAGATTTGATTCAATTTCTCATCAAATATAACATCTCACAAGATTATTATACTGTTCATTTCTGGGTTTCAAAGCCTGTAGATGTGCATGCCACAATATTCTATAAATTTAATCTTCTTGAATCTAGATTGGAGCTTCAAGAATTCATTCAAAATCTTTATGTAGGCATCATGTCTCCATCTATAAATCTATCTGCAATGGAGTTGGTGACCTATTCAGGCTTTAAAGAGTGTCAACAGCTTCATGCTCCTGCATTCATATAGAAATACTGAGGTAGACAATAGATTTATCATTATGAAAACTGTGGTGAGAGCTTTACCCCATAACTTATTAGATAGCTCTGAATCTATAAGTACACTTCTTGTACATTCATAAAGAAGTTGTATTTCTCATTCACTCATTTTATCTTGTTAAGATATATATGAGCATATAATCTTCTTTTATATACTCTTGCTTCTGTAGAATTCAGCCAGTTGTTAGCTCATTAATTCAGAAGCTCTATCAGACAGTATAGTATCAATCTTTCATTCAGTAAATGCTTCAATCATGTTGATTCAGTTCTTCAGAATTTCTGGAGCTTCTACCCACTTCTTCAGGAGATAGATTCACCTGTATTATGTGGCATCATTTATTATAAGTAGGAAATACTTCACTCTGCTATAGCTTGAAGAATCAGAGTCTGTAAATAGAATACAGCTGCCACCTGTAATATTAATAAAAATTTTAGCTCCAGACTTTGCAGAGCATGTTCTAGATTTGAATAGATTGCAAGCTTGCTTAGCTTTAGCACAAATTTTACAGAACTCTAGCTTCTTCACTCTCTTTATTCACATTACTATTCTTGGATCTCTAGCTAAAATAGCTATATCATGAGTGTTCAGATGCCTTCAGCATTTGTGTCAATTGGTCATCATATTCTTCTTGATTTCTGGCATCTTTGCCAGATGATTCAGTGCCAAAAGCACATCATCTTTATTCTCTAGGGTTGCTGTTATATAGCAGAGCTCTAGAAGTTTTATAGATACTGGAAACACATATGCCAGTAAATTGCATATTCTAGACATTTACAGAACTAGAATATTATTGAAGCAGGGTACAATGGGATGCCTTGTCAAAGTAGGCGAGTTGGTTGAGATGGTGAGAGCGCAAGAAGGATGAAAAATCACAATATAGTAAGGATGGTAATGGCCGAGTAGTAAGAACAGAGAAGCATGCCTTAACAGATGCCTAAGCTCATAAGGAATAATAGTACTAAAGAGCCTGTACTAATACAGACAGCTCTAATGAGGAACAGTGGCAAGCTTCATGAACAAGAGATCTTCATATTCTCTAACTAATAACCAAACTAGCAATAAAGAATGAGTGTGTGGAAAAGTACAAAGATGCATGAAGGTATTGAGCAAGATGCAGGAGCTATGGGTGGTTTATATAGCTCAGAGATAGTAGCTGGAGGGGTTTTTGCACCTCAGACTGGAACAACCTTTGTCCTAATATGGTACTGGAATCCCCACTACATTTCCTCCTGGCTTTCACTGTTGGCATCCCCTGACAACAGGCAACATATGAAACAAAACAAAGGCAATTTAGTAAAGAAAATAAGAGACTAAGAATTAGTAACAATCTGGTAAGAAAAGAGATAGGAAATAAGAATAAAGAGAGTGACAGCAGCAAT